CTGCGTGCGGGGGAGGGGGCCCCTCTAGGAACGCGGCGCCGGCGTGGGGACTGTGAGGAGGGGCGACCGGGCCGGGAGTGGGGTGCTCTCGGGCGATCAGAGGGACCGGACAGAGTGGGGGGGGCCCTACGGGGACGAGGGTACCAGAATGGCGAGCCCGAAGGAGTGGGAGAGGGAAGTGGAGTGGGGGCCCCTGAAGGGCGGGGGAGGGGACTGGAGTGGGGGACTCTGAGGAAGGAGGGACCAGGCGGAAGTGGGGGTCCCAGAGCGACCAACGGGGTAACCTGAAGAGGCGGGGGACCTGAGGGGCAAGGGGTGGGGGAACAGGAGTGAATGATCCTGAGGAAGGGTTACCAGACCGGGAATGGGCCACCTAAGAGGGCAGAAGGACCCGGAGTAGGGGGCCCCGAGAGGACATCAGACAGGTTTAGGGGACACTGGTCAGGAACACCTGACAAGTGTGGAAGGCCCAGAGAAGGTGACCCGGGCAGCCCGGAACTGAGGGGTAAGCCGCCAGCTCAGGCCTTGGCCTATTAACTGTCATAGGCCTAATATGGGGATAATTAGGTCCTGAGCACCCTACCTAGGCCCGAGGTAAAACTGGTACATTTAAGGTTGCAAGAAAAGGCCAGGCGCGGTGACTCAAGCCTGTAATCCCAGCACTTTGGGAGGCCAAGGCGAAAGAACTGTCTGAGCTCAGAGGTTCCAGACCATCCTGGGCAACTTGGTGAGACCTGAGTCTACAATCAAAAAATAAGCCAGGCGTGGTAGCGTGCACCAGTAGTTCCAGCTGCTTGGAAGGCAGAGGTGGAAGGAACACCTGAGCCCAGCAGGTCGAGGCTGCAGTGGCTGTGAGTGTGCCTGGGAGACAGAATGAGACTCCGACTCAAAAAAAAAAAAAAAAAAAAAGATTGCAAGAAAAGGCTCCTTTGGACAGGAGTTCAGAGACCTGAGTCTTACTCTCCAAGGAGCTGCATTCACTTTAGTCTTTTATTTAAACCCTAAAATCAGCAGTGTCATAACAATCTTCACTCTGAGATTAAGTCCAAAATGTTTTAAGATGAGGGACGCCTAGCTGGCTCCTTGATATCCTTCGAGGATTTGTGATCAGTGCAATGGTGATGAAGCAGTCCTTAGTGGTGTGGGAACCCCAGCTGGTGGCATCAGGGCAGGCTCCTCAAGAAGACCAGCTGTCCACCCCAGGACAGAGCAGGCCATTCTGAGCTGGTGAGACCTTCTTCCATATTGGTAGACAGGGCAGGCCCATTGCTCAGGATGCCCCACCAAACTCCTTATTGGGATTGGGGCAGCCTTGTTCACCCAAGTCCCAGGTGGGTTAGGACCACAGCCAAGATCACCAGGTGATCAGTTATGAACAAGGTCCAGGCTTGAAGCTGGTACTCCCTCCAAACACACACTTGAGCCATAGGGTACAGGGCCCAGCACTGCGGCCCTGAACACATCTGCACCAGACCCAGGAGCTACACACAGTGTTG